GTAAATTAGAGATTTTTATATATAAATAATTGTTATACTTTTTTCATGGGATCGATACGTACTCTCAAATTGCATACTACTTAACACTTGCACTTAAGTTGTATGACCAACTTACTTCACCGTTAGTTTTTGCGCGTCAAGTTTTTTGTGTCGTTGTCATGAAAAGACATTAATAATTATTTATACTGTTAGGAGAACTTTAGTTGAAAAACTTCGGATCTAAGTTTGACACTTTTATCTTCTTGTTTTTATTTTGTGTTTTTTATTTTTATTACTGCATCTGTATTTCTGTCGTGTTTCCTTGTAGGTGCTAAGAAAATTTTAAAAAAATTAAAAAAATATGTTCTAGAATATGAAAAACCCCAGGAAAATTATTTTAGATTTTTTGAGGAGTTTAGCAACATATTGATAACTAGCCTTCACAATTTTTATTCCCTGACATAGGAGGTAGGTTTGATCACCCCTCTTCCAATACCTGAACTACTTACCCAAACTTTAATTGGAACATTAAAGACATTAGTGTAGAAAACCAACATTTGGGGATAACTCACACTAACCTTGTAGAAAATTGAAACAGTTGAGGCAGGGACCACATTTATTAAATATAACCCTGGGAAATCACCTCAAAACCCTAATATAGGGAGAATAGTCTGTCGTTATAAGAATTATTAGTAAATTTTGTGAATGAATCAAGCACCTACACCCAAAGTTGATCTAACCAAGCTTTGATTGGAATAATAAAAACCCTAGAGTAAACAACTAACAATGGGAGAGCACCCAAATTAATCCTGTAGAATGTTGGAATAATTAGGATAGTGACTACCATTAAGAAAATGAGTATTTGAAAGAATTAATAATAAAACTGGAAGGAGTTAAAAAGTCAAGCTAATACCTTTAGAAACATAGAACATCATAGTTTGGTGGTTAGCTAACCTATTAAGCAATGAACCCCAAGAGATGTCAAGGATAGTAGAAAGCCATAATTTTTAATATGAAAAGTTGGTCCCTGAGGAGTATTCTGAGTTGGATGTTGCTAGTTGGACAATAGTTGAGGAAGAATCTGTTCTTCCTTTCAAGACAACCCCTAGCATTGTTAGGGAGATAGTTGAGCACATAGGAGTGCTCCAAAAAGAAGAGTTGGAAGATAGCCCAAGGCAGGAGAGTGACCCAGTAAAATTAGATCCAGAATCTAAAAAACCTAAGAAAAATTGAACCCAAAATTTAGAACACATTGAATGATCTTATAGATACCTGTTTCTTGCATATTGTAAGGAAAATACTGATATGCAAATGTAAGAATTAATTGGGATGAATTTGGATTTAGAAACTACCCTTAGGAATGATCATCTAATAAAACCCCTTACATACCCTCTCGAAGACTACTATCGATTTGAGAGGAGAAAGTTGCAAGAAAAAATGAAATTTGATGATTTAGTAGAAATTTCAGGATCAATAAAAAATTGAGCGATTGCTTGGGGTTTATTAAATTGAAATTTTGATCATGGAGGAGGACTTTTTGTTCAAGTTGGGAACATTAAACCAAACGCTATATTGGGATGCAACCCAAGTAATATTTGATATGTTGATCATGTTTTTACTTTTTGCATTTGTTTTGAAATTTAGTTTGAAATTTGCTCTAAATTTTCGTTTGAATTAGTTTTGAGTCTTGTCTCTCCACAGAGTAATTTATACATTGTTACAGATTTCACATTCTTGTTTTTTGATATTCATGTAAATTATGCATGCTTTACCTTTTGGTGTTTGTACCTACTTTTTTTGTTTACTACTACTTCAAGTTATTCATATGTTGGAAAAAAAATCAAATTTGGGGGAAAATATATACCTTTTTTACAAACCTGAAAGTAGTCCATATAGCTCAGTAAAAGATTCAACTTTCATTTGGTAACTCATGTTAGGACTAATGGTTGATTCAAAATGCTTATCATAATCTATTAAAAGCAGATAAATGAACTTTAAAAAAGCTTAACTTTAATGAGTCAATAATAATTTTCAAAACTTAACAATTTCAGACATTACTTAAATTAACTCATAAATTATTAAAAAAGATGTAATTTTAATATTAAGCAAGAAACCAAAAACATTTTAATCTTTTTTAGTTCGTTTTAACAAAATTAATGTGATATTAAGTTTTAAATGGAAAGGATAATTTGGAAGTGAAACATTAAAATATCAAGTGTTGAGTTCTATTGCTTAAGAAGAACCCCACTAATTCATATTTAAAAGTTTTGAAAAGAAACAAAAAGTTGTCAATCAAATATAGAAATTCTCAAGAGAAAAGGAAAACTGAAAAAAAAAGAAGTGAAAAATTGAAAAAACATTGATTGATAAGAAGTTTAAGGTTGGCACAACAAAAATTCAAGGAAAAGGAAAAAAGAAGAGTGTTTAGTGGGACTTAAGTGATAAAATTTTTTCATGATTCTTTAATAAAAATCATTTGAAAAGTTATCTTCAAAGGAAATAGTTAAGAAAATGTTGAATTGGCTAAAATCCACTGAAATTGCATTAAAGATATTCAAAGTTAGAGTAAAAGATTTTAAATAACACCAATTTAATGATCTATGAAATTTTCTGAAGAAGAGAATTAAGGAAATGTCAAGTTATTAATCATTAAAGATAATTGATCTTAAAATAACATTTAAACATTTTTATTTAGCTTTGATAAACATTTTAAGTAGTTAGAAATCTACAGAACTGTCAATTATCTTCATGGAATCCCAACTAAGCCTTGTGATTACTTGAGGGAAAGTAATAGAGTAAGTTTGTGGGAATTGATATATGTATATTTTACATGATTTCATCTGCTTTTGTCATGCATTTTACCTACTATTATACCTTATTCATCATGATTTTATGCTTGTGGAAGATTTTTACATGTGTCGAACATACAAAACTGAATCAAAACGCGTGAAAACGCAATCTGGCACCGTCATGCCAGATCTGGGCATGACCACACCAGTTTTCGGCATGACCACGCCGGTTTCGGGCGTGACCACACTTGTTTAGGTTTCGAGCGTGACCACACCATCGTACATCCAGAACTCGTATTTTACGCAATTTCATGCATATTTTAAACCTATGAAACTTTGAGGTGAGTTTGTTTTTTGTTTGTGAGTTGTGCGGGATTTGTATGAGAGGATTGATTGTTGTCATTATGGAGAGAACAAGTTATTATAAGTTTTACATGTTTTAGTTTCTTGTAATGAATTCTTGCATAGTTTTTCTTGTTTGATTTTCTGGACGATGTGTGACTAATTTCATTATTTGTCTTTATGATGTAGGGGTAGTGGATTTAATTGTGATTTTTTCATAATGTTTTTCTGTTAGTATTTTCTTGTGCTTTCATGGCATATGTCATTAGTTAACATATAAATTTAATTTACTTTTAGTTTGGTTAACTTGGATCTTAAAATATTTTGTGAAGCTACGACCTGTAATTGTTGTGTACTATAAACAAAAGGTTAACCAGAATATTCCGAGATGATGAGCATATGCAAGTGGAGTTCTGCAATCATTCTAGGGGATCTGAATAGTTATGAGGAATCTCATAAGGATTGAGGAAGCTTGAAATTCGTGGATTGTTGGATTCTTTTGACATAAACATGGACATAAAGAGTAATATGTCCCCAATTGACAACATATACGTTAGAAATTATTTAGAAAAATCACGATCACCACGATCCCCAAATCATAGAGGCACGAGTTTCATCAATCTTGAAGGAATTCACAAATAATTTCCTGCTGCTTCTATGTTTTGTCGTATGCAATTTCCTCTATTTTTGCTAAAATCTTGGGATTTAAACCACCTTTGCAATCACACCAAGCTAGATTCATTAAATTTGTAAACTAGAGATTTTTTCTACAAAATTAATTATTAGACTTTCCTTGCGAGATCAATACGTGGACTCTTAAATCGCATATTACTTGACACGTGCACTTGCATTGTACGGCCGACTTACGTCGCAGTAAGTTTTGGCGCGTCAGACTGGCACAAAAATCTAGGGAGTAAGGTAATTGAAAATACTTATTGCGCAATAATTATGCAATAAATAAATATTTTTTTAATTTAATTCTCTTATTTTTATTATAGTAGTCACTTTTGTAGAAGATAATCGAAAAACGAAATATATACATCGAAAATATGATTACATGAATCTCGAAGAAGTTTAACGGATCACACAAAGAAAATACCAAAGAAACACATTATCACTGTTGAAAGACTGAGCCATCAAGCATAACTGCATTTGGCTGGATCATGGGCCGATCGAAAGAAAGTTCATCCGAGCTAAGAAACATTGTACACCTGAACCAACAGCGACCGTACAAAATCGACTCCCTCAACCAATTTTGGGTCACTCGCAGAGAAGATCAATGGTCACTCCGTAGAACTCTTTTTTAACTTTCCATAGAGACATCTCATCTAAAAGAAAATTGTCCATCAAATTACGACGACACACAATTTGTCTGATGGAACAAAAACCTTCCTAAGAATAAAGACAATCTCCACGAAGAGTTCTCTGAGGAAAGCTAACCGAATGATTTTTAGCCGACAAAGCGACAATTAGGTGACCAAGTTGAACATTAACAAATATGAAAAGATGTCATAGTAGTTACAAATACGAAATGGTGCCAACAGCAATTATTAAGGTTAGAAGATATAAGGATCGTTTATGAATATGTAAGGGTATAATAATTCATTGATAACATGTAACATTTCTATTGAATTAGGGACAAACATGTAACTTACTAGACACCCCTATAATCTATAAATAAAAGGGTCATTTCTTCAAGAAAAACTACTAAATTTATTCTAAGAGAATATGTACTATTGTGTACTCTACTCTCCCGACCATCCTTTAATTCCCTATTCCAGCCATGTGTCCAAGACGCTATCTTTTGGGTGCCACCCAAATGACATTTTGGGATTCAACACTCATGCATAAAAACATAAAGTGAAAATAGAGATAAAAGAAAATAGTTCAACAAAAATGAATCAGATTCTGCCTTTAAATCACTGATATTCTCATCTCCAACCTGATCTCCTCACAAGCCCCATCATTTCTGATTAAAGATACAGTGAATAAACAAAAAAATGCAACAGCAAGCATACTTGAAAAGAAGTTTCCTCCATCTTTACCAATATAAGCATCATTGCAAGAAGTATCCGGAGAGAAAGAGCGCGAATGCGAGCAGCAAGCTCCCATATATCAGCAATGCCTTCTGGCCTCCTGTGAGCGTGTTGGCCCCAAGCCCAAAATTCTGGTTCTGCGCAAATCCTGCAATCTCCACGCTCTTGCTCTCGAAGAAGGACTTCGCCGCTCCACAAGTCGAGCATCGCCAGTCCTCCGGTAGCTTCTCAAATCTAAACCCTGGTGGGATGGGGTACGAAGGATCGCCAACGGCCTCGTCGTAGCGGTTACCACAAGATCGGCACTCGTAGATCCCCGTATTCAGCACGGCTAATCGCTCCTCCAGACGCCGCGGATCCAAATTCTTCTCCTGTACCTTATCCCTGGTCTCTGCAGGATCCACCGGTACCGGACGATCGTTCGAGAGGGGTTTGTCGTCCTTTGAAACGTCCACGGAAAAGAGAATGACTTGGCGGGGTATTTCGGGCTTCTGAATCGAGTGGAATGAAGAATGAAAGTTCGATCGTTTAAGGTTTCGGAGGAGAATCGGTGTATGGTATATGGATGTTTTGGGTGGAAGTAAATTAGATAGGTTTTGGAAGGAAAAATTAGGTGTTGCCGTCGCCGACGCCATTCGACGAGTTGTAGCCCTAGGAACCACCCTCTTTATCCGCCGCTTTTTAATTTTGCTTTATTTAAATCCCGGGACAGAGCCTGAAGTTGGTAAATGCTCTTTAGAAGAAGATAAGGCTCGTGGAGCAGCCGCGAGCGATGTCAACAAATATACTGAGCCAGCTCAGGGTTTATTTCATTAGGTAGGCTAGCTGGGGGCTTTTTATCAAACCGTTATCGAAGGCATGTGGTATATCTATTATAATAAAAATTATTTCGGACAGTTTAGACAGAATTGCATAAGCTGTCCGATTTCTACAGTTAATATTAAAATAAAAAATAAAAAATGAGGTCTATCGAAATATATATTTATCCTGATGAACGGTGGAGATCAGACAACATATACATTTCTGCATATGTTGTTCGTATGAAATAGTTTTTTATATTATAAAATACATTTTATTATTAAAATTTTAATTTATATGATTGAAAAAATATTATTTTGCATTTTTTATTTGAAAAATATGAATGCAAAATCTTTACAGGACAAATTGCTCGTTAATAAAAATGTGAGACAATGATATTTTTAGAAATGTGACATGTGAAAGCGAAAGACCCCCACAAACTTCAACTTTTAACAAGTGATTCTTTTGTCATAAAATTTGTTGCAAGTTATCAATATTACCTAAGAGCCTCGTTTAGAAAATCAGAACAAATTGGCAACCCGTTCAATCGTGAACCGGCTAGTAGTCAGACTTGGATTGACTTAATAACTACCCCTGCATCAAACTGGATTGAACCGGCCTGAAACAAGAAAAAAGTTGACAAAAAACTCGCCGGTTTAACCTATAACTGGCTACAACAAATATGAATAAATTATGTAAATGTAGAGAGCCAATATGCTCTTCGTGTAACTATCCTATACCCCCATATTTTTCAATATAAAGGAACTATGAAACTTAAGATTTAAAGACGTAGGACTTAAACTATAACGGCTAAAACAATTTAATAATATGTTTCTTTACCCTTATTTGCTAGCACAAAATTTTTATTTTTTTATATTGTTCTCTTTTATAATTTAAGAAATTGTGAAATATAAATATATATATATATATATATATATATATATTAATGTTGATATATAGATATATTAATGGATTTAATGCTATATGTGAGTTTCATTCTAATATTGGCTTATGAAATTTTGGAAGATTTACATGCATGCCACTTGATTGTTATCTATTTACATTTCTAACACCTAAACTTTAATTTATACAAAAATACCACCTTACCTATGAATGACAAGGTGAATTTTGGCTTTTAAAAATTAAAAAAGAAGCACCTGATGTGATACGAAAGATTTGAGTGATATAAATGTAAAAAAGCAAAGAATAGGTGTTAGATATGTAAATATATAAGACATTGGTGGTATTATGTAAATGGCCCAAAAAATTTTTAAAAATTATTATAGTATGATTCTTATTTTTCATATTTAACTTTTTTAAATTAATTGTTATTTATTTTAAAATAATATTCTAAAATTATTATGATGATAGTTATTTAAATATTGAGATATTTATTTTATACTTTACAATCATTTTTTTTTTAAATTACATCATTTTTGTAACAGCTAAATAAATTTATAATTTAGTGAGTCATCCAATTGAACCTCACTTCAACTTTTGAACCTTGAACATTTTATTTTACATGTTTAATGCCAGTTCCGATTTTTTTAATCTTGACTAAGTGTTTGTTCGGGATCTTTTTTTATTTTTATTTTATTTTTTCTGTTTTTTTCAAAATATTTTTGTTTAGTATTACTAATTTTTCATTATTTTATTTATGTGGTCCACTAACATTTATTTTAATTGGAATTAATTAATTAATTAAAGGAAAAGGGTCATATATCTTCTCAAAAGACTATGTATCCTTTCGCTTTAATTAATTAATTAAATTGTCCTAAATGAGTTGTCTCTTCCCAATAGACAATATATCATTTCACTTTAATTAACTAATTAAATTATCTTAAGTTATATTGATCAATTACCACCTTGATGGATATTGGTTAATAATAGATAATAAAGAGAAATGTTCTCTTTTAAAGGGACATTTAACTTTCTCTGATAAATAAAATAAGGGTCATCTATCTCCCAAGAATTAATGTATCGTTCTCTCCATCATAAAGTACGTAAAATAATAAGGATTAGAGAGAAATTTCATCTATTTAATCTAATTTTACAATCATGAATGCAGATATGTATATTTTATTTATGAGTATATGAAAAATCATGAATTCAAAGATCTTGTTCATTATGTATTTTATGAATTTTTGGATTTTATAATCATTAAAAATCTCAATATGTGGTATCAGAGCCTTGATTGTTGAATTTGTGATTTTTCATTTAGTTTTATTTATGTTAATTGCATAAAATTTTTGGTGGAAATTAGATCTTAGAATTAGATCACTAAAGCTAATGGGTGAATTGATATGTTGTTATTTATTTGATGTTTATATTATGTTTAATTTGACAGTCACCGAAATGACCAAATTAGTATGTTTAATAGATGTCAAATTAATTAAATTCAATTGCTCATAAGTATGTAAGGCTTATTTTTGTATTTCACTATGGGTATATTGAAATTCATTGATTATAAAATATTTATAAATCGCCTAAAGGTTGATAATTTATTTTATATTCTTTGAATTTGATTGTGGCATATTTTTATACTTAATTAGATATGTTTATATATCCAAAGATAATAGACATATATAACTTGAGTATAAACAATTGCCAATTCTGTTAAACTAACAATTCAAGCAACAATTTTGTTTATTATTGTGAATTTTTATATCACACAAAGGAGATTTTCAATGCACTACTAGATTTTTCATTTAATCTGATTGAATATGAATATCTATTTAAGTTTAATTCCCAAAGCATTAATGCATGAGCGTGTTCTATCTATTTACATTATCTACTCTTGTTTCTCTTCATTTGCAAGCTACATCTGTTCAGAAATTCAATGGGCTTAATTTATGTGAATGGCGTCAGCAAGTCTAATTTCACATTGGTGTTCTAGATCTTGATTTGACACTCACGACTGAGAAACCCCTTGCTCCTATTGATTATAAGAATGCCGAGTAAAAATTTTTCTTTAACACTTGGGAGGGGATCGAACAGATTGAGCTTAATGATTATACGAATGGCTGTAACAAACAACATAAAGTGTATATTTTCTAACACTAAAAATGCTAAGGAATTTATGAAATTTATCGAGGAATGTTCTCAGTCTAACTTTGCTGATAAGTCTCTTGCTAGAATATTATTGAGTATGTTAACCAACATGAAATTTGATGGTTCCCGTACTATGCATGAGTATGTTGTTGAAATGACGAACATAGCAGCAAGATCTAAGACTCTAGGAATGGAAGTGAATGAAAATTTCCTGGTGCAGTTTATCATTAAGTCCTTGCCTTCTGAGTATGGTTCATTTCACATGAACTATAACACTATGAAAGATAAGAGGAATGTGAATGAACTGCAATATATGCTCATTCAAGAGGAAACAATGCTTAAGAAAGGAGGAAATCACTTCATTAATCTCATGGGTCATAAAAGAAAAACTGTAAAGAAACCTGATCTTGTTCATTATTTTTAACAAGGAAAGGCCACTAAAGATTAATGTATCATCTACTCTAATTCATAAAAGGGAATATAAAGAAATTAAGTGTCATTTTTGTAAAAAAGTCTGGATACTATCAAAATGAGTGTCAGAATTGCAAAGGTTTGTTCAAAAAGAAAAGTAAACATTGTGTTTCTGTATGTTTCGAATCAAATTTAGCAGAAGTTCCTTATAATACTTGGTGGATTGATTTTGGTTTTACCTCTCATGTTATTAATACAATGCAGAGATTCTTTACAACCCTTACCATAGACTTAGATGAAAAGTTTGTTTTCACGAGAAACCGAGTCAAAACTTTAGTTGAAGTCATTGGAAACTATCGATTGATTTTAGATACTGGACATCATTTAGAACTTTTTTTAAACATTTATGTCTATTCTATTTCTTGTAATTTGATTGAATTGTCTAAACTTGATTCTATTGGGATGTTTCAGTTTCTTAAACACAATCATCTTATTAGTTCTAGTATTCTTTATGATATTCAATATATACTTAAACTTGATCATCTTTTTACTGAGACTCCCATGACCATGCATCATAATGTTGGTACTAAATATAATTTTATGAATGAAAGTGCAGCTTATTTGTGGTATAAACATTTGGGTAATTTATCCAAAGAAAGAATTGAAAGATTGATAAAGAATGAAATCCTTAATGATCACTGATCTTGGCATCTGTGTGGATTGTATTAAGGGAAAGCACACAAAACACGCACTTAAGAAAGCTACCACGAGAAACACACAACTCTTTGAAATTATATACATTGATGTTTGTGGACATTTTAATGTTCCATCTTTTGGTGGAGAAAAATATTTTATCACCTTTATCGATGACTTTTCACATTATATTTGTCTACTCATTGCATGAAAAATCTCAATCACTAGATGCATTAAAGGTGTTTATAGCTGAGGTTGAGAGACAATTAAATCGAAAAGTGAAAATCATCAGGTCCGATAGAGGTTGTGAATATTATGGAAGACACAATGAATATGGTCAATGTCCCAAATTCATTTGCTAAATTCCTTCAAACTAAAAACATATGTGTTCAATACACTATGTCAAGAACACCACAACAAAATGGTGTTGCAGAAAGACGAAATTGTACTATGATGGAAATAATTAGGTGTGTGATGAGTAATTCTTCTTTACCCTTATCATTGTGGATGCATACTTTAAAGATCGTTGCATATTTGTTAAACAAGACCCATAGTAAGGTCGTTCCAAAGACTCCTCTTGAACTGTAAATAGGAATAAAACCTAGTTTAAGGCACCTGCATGTTTGGGGTTGCCCAGCAAAAATAAAGATTTATAATCCACATGAAAAGAAATTGAACTCAAGAACAATCAGTGATTTCTTCATTGATTATCCAGAAAATACTAATGGGTGTAGATTTTATTGTCCTAACCACATTACAAAAATTATTGAAGATGGAAATGCTAAGTTCATTGAAAATTGTGAAGTAAGTGGG